ATAATAATAATATATAATAATATATCAGAATGTTTTTCAGAAAGGTAACAGTAAATTCAATGATCTTTTGGAAATATATAACTGTTGGGTATTTCGGGGGTGCCAGAAAGATAATAATAATATATAATGTAATATCAGAATGTTTTTCAGAAAGGTAACAGTAAATTCAATGATCTTTTGGAAATATATAACTGTTGGGTATTTCTGGGCATTTATACATTTCTCATATTCCAGCAAATACACATTAATTTAGGTTTTATTTGGAATTCCTACAATTGAATCCCCTTGGTTTCCTTTTGCATCTTAGTTCCTAATGCTCATCTTTCTTACTAGTTTCTCCAATAACTTTAACAGATGTGGACAATACTACAGGGTTTCTCAAATTGCAACAAAACTATACCTTGAACAATAGAGCTGTGTTCTAGCTTCTGTGACCGCCAAGAAAATTTACTAGGGTCGTGAACTAATGGAAACAGCACGGGGCAAGGCAGCCCTAGGAATGAATCCCAGCTCTTCACTTTCTTAGCTGTGAGAAGTTAAGCCAGTCCTTTCACCTTTCAAGTGTCAAATTTTTTTAATCCATAGAATGGGATAATAACACCTATCTTACATAGTTGGAGTGAAGATTAAATTATGATATTGCATATGTAGTACAGTATTTGACATATAATAGGTCCTTGTGGGGGAGGAAAAATAATTATCCCACTAACCTTCTGAGTTCTTAGCTGAGACTTCCTATAATAAAAGACAGATTAACAAGAGTAAAATAGAAGTTTATTAACACGTATACTTCATCTACACATGGGAGACACCCAGGGAAAGATGAGTAACTCAAAGAGGTGGCTTTAGAGTTTAGGCTTAAGTATCATTTTGATAGGGAATGAGGAAGTGGGATGTTGGCTTCTTAGGGGAGAGTAAATAGTTTTTCAGGAAGATGAATGGGTCCTTAGAGAACAGATGGGAGGTATGACAATTTGGGCCAAAGTTTGAGTGTAGTGCTGATTTCTAGTCCCTCCTATGATGGGAGTCAATCTTCCCTGGTGGATGAAACTCCTGGGGAAGGGATTTATGACAGTTGAGTTCCTTCTGGAAGATCTGTCTTTAGGCACATGAGAGTTTAGGGAATGCCTTTCCCCGCATTTGCTGTTTTTCAGGTGCCTACAGTTCAAAATAATCAGTATACAAAAGTGTCATGTTTGGGGTGGCATGCTCTGCTACCCTACATGCTCAATACAAGTTTTGTTTTGTTTTGCCTTCCTCACCCTTAGGGGAACTTTGAGAGCTCCACTGGGCCAGTTCATAGACCAGTGAGGAGGAATGACGAGATTATCTTTCCATAGGTACAGCAGTGAAGAATTGTTATTTGTTTTGAATGGAATGTCAGAGCAAATGCAATTGCCTGCTTTCAGAGGCTTAGTCTCCAATTCATTCATTACCACAGAGATTTCTGCTGTACAGCATGGATTTCCAAGTATCAGACAATTAAATGCTCTCAAAAACTTTTTTATTTTTGGTTGCAGGAATACATGCTAATAGCCTGGGGTAGTTTTTCATCTATCTAGATTTAGAGAATAGACCAACCAAATTAGCATTAGCCATGAAAATAAAATCTTCCACAGCCTTCCTTAAGCCGTATTCAAAGCAGAGAAAAATGTTACATGCTTTATTATTTTAGGAAAGCGTTTTAAGATTGTCACAGATTTTTTATATGATTTTTTCATGTCATTTGCCTCACATTTGATTCTTACTCTATACTATTTGTAAGTATAAATGAGAAATTTATTAGGGAAGTGTTTAAAATATAAAACGTTTAAAAATTTATTGAAGAAGCTCTCATTTTTTAACTTGTAGCTGCTGCATGATTCTAACAGAAATGAAGTAAACACCAGGTAATAATAAACATTCCACAGCACTAGGTGCCAATACCCCCCTCCTCCCTGCCCCGTTTGTTTCCCATTGTGAAGTTGTGTCTTCCCACTTTGAAGTAGCCTGACTAGTATGCTTTTGATTATATCTTTTAAGTTGAATTTATTTATATATTATAAGCCATGAAGCTTGTTTTTATTTTTTAATATTTTCAACTAAAGAGTAAAATTTTACCTTGTTGACCAGATTCAGAAGAAGATGTGGTTGAAACTCCTGCTGTGTCGCATGATGAACACACACACCAAGAGATAAAGGGCCAAAAAACACTGGCAACTCCTGCAGTTCGCCGCCTAGCAATGGAAAACAATGTGAGTTGTCTTAATATTTAAGTGTGAGGTTACCTAGAAAATATACATTTGTATCAATGAAAAGTTAGCCAACTATTCCATGAAGAGATGGCTCAAGGTGAGGTTAGAGAAAAATGATAATGTATGTTACTAAAAAGTGATTGTTGCAGAAAAGCACCAGTGAGAAACAAGAAATTGCAAACTTACTACTTACATTAATTGAGCAGTGTGGTTTTATTATTTTTCCTTAGAGCCTAATAATAGTCAGGGCTACCATCTATTGCACATTTGTAAATACTAGTGTCTTAGATCAGGTTCCCTAGAGGCCAGCTTGAGACAGGGATTTGGATGCATGTGATGGATTGGTTGAGGGAAGGAACAACTTTTCTGGGAATGAGGGAAGCAGACAGAGAAAGGAAGAGAAGGGAAATGGGCTGGGCAAGCATGTGGTCTCAAGGATCTGATCCAGTGGGGTTAGGGAAAACCATTGAAATTGTACTGACTTGAGACATGGAGACCAGCCTTTTGAATTCCCTCTTATCAGTCAGTCATTTGTGCTTATCCCGGGCTAGGTGGCTCCCAGGTACTGAAATCAGTATGTATACATTATCTCATTTAATTTTTACAGTAATGCTGTAAGTTATGGGGGCTATTTGGAGACTTGGAGAGGTGAAGTAACAGGTCCAGGGTCACACAGCTAACACAGTGGTGGAACTAGGATTCTGTATTGAGGCTCTGTGACTCCAAAACCAGTACCCTTAATCATGATATACTGCCTCAACAATGATTGCATCCATTACTTAAGCATATATGAGTCAGACACTGTGTACACACACATTCTCTCTAATCCTCACAGCCATCCTGCAGGGTAGTTTGGATTATCCCCATTTTGCAAATGAGAAAGGGCAGAGAAGTTGATTAATTGCCTCAAATCAAGTAAGTAGCTGAACTGGGGATTTGAACACATCTGTTCTTTTTCAAACTTGGGTTCTTTGCACTACACCCCATAATGCAGGGTTTTTGTCTGTTTTTTGAGAGAGGTAGTTAAGTTACAGTGGGAAAAAACAAAAGCGTACATTTTAGAAATATGTAATGAGTCATTAAAATGTTCATATCCCTTCAATCACTTATCCTACCATTGGGAGACTATCCGAAGGAAATAATTTAGGATACATTCTTCCAAGTGTTTTATATAGTCAAAATGAGAAGGCATATACGGGTTCAAAATGAGGGATATGCTTGGGTAAATTATGTTAAAGATTTTATTTATTTATGAGAGAGAGAGCAGGGGGAGGAGCAAAGGGAGAGGGATAAGTAGACTGCCCTGAGCACGGAGCCCAGCATGGGGATTGATCCCAGGACCCTGGGATCATGACCTGAGCCGAAGGCAGACGCCTAACCATCTGAGCCACCCAGGCGCCCAATAACTGAACTTTTTTATACCAACTTCTCAAAATCATTTGAGGGGAATCATTAGTTGTTTTTTTTTTTTAACTGTATATGTTTTACTCCTTCCTAAAGTGAGGGTATTGAGTATAGCCTAGAATCTTTTTTTGATTCTGCAAAAACATGCTAATGAACATTTATTATTCTGGAAACAATACAATTCTGCATCTGGCTTTTGGTTTTTCAGCCTACTCTATGAGTATCAGCTCCATTCTGCATCTAGAACACTGGGACTGAATTTCTAGCACTGTTCATATGCATATTTATGAAAATCTGCTATAACAACATAAACTAGGTGTCCCACAGAGTCTATAATCTATTTTTTTAAAGATTTATTTATTTAGATAGAAAGAGCATGAGTGGGAGGGGCAGAGGGAGAGGGAGAGAAAATCTGAAGCAGACTCTGTGCTGACCCCAACATGGGGCTCAATCTCAGGATCCTGAGATCATGACCTGAGCCAAAACCAAGAGGCAGAAGTCTAACCAACTGCAGCACTCACGCACCACCCCACAAAGAATTTATAATATTAAAATGTTTACCAGGATTAATACAGTGTTCTGAGTTAAAGAAAAGCTCTTTCAGGGGTGCCTGGGTGGCTCGGTTGGTTGAGTGTCTGACTCTTGATTTTGACCACGTAGGGCTCTGTGCTAAGCACGGAGTCCACTTGTCCCTCTCCCTCTGCTTCCCTCCCCCCCCTCAAATAAATAAATGAATAAATAAAATCTTAAAAAAAAAAAACTTTGACATAAAACCATTCTAAGAATATAGCATGTCATTTAATTAAATTAAACTAAATACATAAATTGCAGAGTGTAATGCCTGGGCATAGTAAGTGGGCATGAACGGTAGCTATAACTTAGTTTTTGTTCAGCCAGCTGTAGACTGAACTGATTGAATTAGCTGTTTCAATAATTTGATGTGAAAAAGAAAATGCAGTGGGATCTCGTTGGTTTGAGTATCATCAGTTCTCAACTTACGATCATTTATTTAGGACCTAAACTAAAGTTTACATTTGTTCTACAAGGAAAGGTCTTCCTAAGCAGTTTTGCAGAGAGAAAAGTTTAAAACTTTTTATGAAAACAAATTGTTTCAAACACCCTTGAGTGCTTTAGTATTTCAAAACATTTTCTCTACAAGAATTTCCCCAATTAAGTGAATTAATTGACTACTTAGTACTTAAAATACCTAAGAATATTGCAACTTCAGTTTTAATATTTTTACTGATTCAAATTACTTTCTTATTTAGTTAATCTGAAATAATAGTTCTATTATAAATTTGCATCACATGGGGAATTCTGGCAACATTGACAGTTTTCATGACAAAAAGTGCTTATTTACCAGAGTTCTTTTGTTCTTTTTAAACGTTTAAGTAAGGCTTTTAAAACTGTATATTCTAAATCCACTACTGAAGAATAAAATCCCACATATTAGAGTATAGTGCTAGAATCCTGAAAATCACTTTACTTGGGGGAGAGTTATGAAATTTTAGGTTAGCCTTAACTCCATCGCCCCTTAGAGTCTGTTTCTACATTGGTAAAACTGAGAAATATGCCCTGCATTCCTCTAACAGTGTTGTGATCATAAAAGGAGAAAATATGTATAAAAAAACTTAGAAAATGATTTAAAGTTCTGTGTAGTAAGGTGGTATTTTAGTGCTAAAGAGAGCTCTCTTCCAACAACTACCTGACTACTACAAATAATATATAATGTAGGGGCACCTGGGTGGCTCAGATGCTTGAGCGTCTGCCTTCGGCTCAGGTCATGGTCCCGGGGTCCTGGGATTGAGCCCCGCATCGGGCTCCCTGCTGGGCAGGAAGCCTGCTTCTCCCTCTCCCTCTCCCCCTGCTTGTGTTCC